CTTCCAGGCCGCACTAAGCCTGTAGCTGTCTGAGCGATTAAAGTTATTTCTGTTTCTCTCAATTTCAATGGATTCTCTAATTAGTCTTTGCCAGTAGTAACTATTTTTACACAACACTTCAACGTTTTCAAAATCAATTGAGTGTCCCTGTTGGCATGCATATTCTGCCACTGCCGACAGTTGTGTTTGCGATAGTTTAATATTTCTCTGGTGTTCTTTTAGTCTTACACTAACATTACGCCCTGTCTGTCCAATAGAGCATCTGCCACATATACAATTAATCCGATATACACCTTCTGTTGATAATTTAGGTAATTCGTCTTTAGTGCACGTTACTAGTTGTTGAATTTTGTGTACTGTACCAAATCTTACTGTAATGTTTTGCTTTTGCAAAACACGGGCTAATTTGTCAGTTACTCCTGAGATAAATGGTATTTTTATTGTTTTAATAATCTGATCGCTTTCAGCAGTGTTGCTTTGCGATCGTGATTTGGCATTTAGTGCTCTGTTAATTTGAGCATTATTGTAGCCATTCTGTCTTAGTGCTTCTTTAACATGTTTAATCTCTCTCACTAGACTTTCACCATCTGACACTTTAATTAATCTCAGTAACAGTTCTATTTCTGATGGTCTGAAATCCGTTTTAGCTAAAGGGCTAAACTTTGCAGTCACACCTAGACACATTCCAGTTAATTATATCATTGCACAAGTAGATGTAGCTCTCAAGGGCCTGGGTCACATCGCTGCAGACGTAGCAGGATCTGACATCGCTGCAACCCTGAAAAACGCTAAGATGCCAGCTAGAAACATCAGCAAAGATGAGCGTTTTGAATTAGCTCAATTAAAAAAGAGGGATGACATTGTGATCCTCTCAGCCGACAAAGGCAATGCCACTGTCATCATGGACAAAATAGAATACAACAACAAAATTCAAGAACTACTCAACGATGGCAGCTATACAAAAATAAAAAGAGACCCCACCAACAGCCTCGTCATTAAAACCATCAAAATCATTTCAGATTCAACCGCATTCATTGATCAAACCAAACAGTTCTCGTTGAAACCTTCTGCAGCCAGGCCACCAAGATTATATGGCTTGCCAAAGATACATAAAGAAGATACACCCCTTCGTCCCATTGTCTCTACTATCAACTCCCCCACCCACAAACTGGCTCGTTTTTTGTCTGAAATCCTGCGGCCTTTCACTGGAAAAACCACCTCTGCGGTACTAAACTCTACTCACCTGGTTTCGACAATCAAGGGAATGTCCCTGTCCCCAGACGACCTGCTTGTCGGTTTTGATGTGGTTTTCTTATTCACCAAAGTTCCTGTACCTGACACCATCGCAATCATTGAAGACTTGGTTAATCAAGGACTGAATACTGAGGTACCCCCCCCCCCCCTGGTGAGACACTGCTTAACCAATACATACTTCACCTGGAATGGAACTTTCTACAAGCAAACTGAGGGCACCCCAATGGGCTCCCCCCTATCTCCGGTTGTAGCCAACGTTTTCATGGAGAAATTTGAGACTGACCCCATCCAGACTGCCACTCTACGCCCGACCTTATGGAAAAGGTACGTAGATGACACTTTTGTCATCTGGCCACATGGCCGGCCTGCTCTAGACCAATTCCTCGACCACATCAATTCCATACACCCAGCCATCAGATTCACCATGGAAGTCGAAAAAGATGGCAAGCTACCCTTTTTGGATGTCCTAATTAAAAGGAGACCTGATGGTTAAATGAGCCACTCTGTCTACAGGAAAGCTACCCATACGGATGCTTACCTAAAACCGGATTCCCACCACCTTCCATCCCAGAAGAATTCCCTCATCAAGACTCGACACCATAGAGCCCAATGCATCTCCGACCAAGAACACATTGCCAGTGAACTCAAGCACGTATTCCAAGCTCTTAAGGCTAATGGTTATTCCGACTACACAATCCGCAAAGCCATCACTCCAACTATCAAGAACGATCCTGTTGAAGAGCCATTCATAACCATCACCTTACCCTACATTGCGGGGGTCACAAAAAAGATCTCCAAAATCCTGAATAAACACAAGATCCAGGTCCGATTCAACACAGTACATAAAATCCGTGATCTGGTTCCGTCTGTAAAAGATGTGGTTCCAGACATACAGTACCCTGGCGTCTACAAACTAAGTTGCCTCTGTGGTAGCAGTTACATTGGAGAAACCAAACGACATGTCCTGGACCATATCCGTGAACATAAAGCAGACCTGAAACATGGTAGGACAAACACCTCAGCCGTGGCAGATCACTGTTACAATTCTGTGGGCTCACATGACATTGACTACTCCAAGACAGAGGTTCTCTGCAAGTCATCTGGCTACCATGAGAGATTCGTTCATGAGGCGATCCACATATACAAACACAGAGACAATTTTAACCGAGAAGATGGATTCTGGCTCAGCAATCATTAGAAGGACATAATAAACCATTTCGGATCTTAACTGATTGTGTTGACGTTTACGGTGACTTTCAGACCGCAGTCCACTCACTGGCATTGACTATATATCTTTTGTATTATCCGCTGGGAATGGAGTCTTTGCTCCGCTATAAGACTCCTTCCACCACTCTCCCATTGACATATTTCGTTGCTTCCTCTTAGTACCTTTCACGCGACGGTCAATGGTATAGTGTATAGCAGATTGTATAATAATAAATAGTATAAAAGTGTAATGTTTAATATAATGTATAAGGTAATATATAGTATCCTAATTGTATAGTGAATATACAGCAGTGTGGTATACAGTAGGGTGGGTAGAATAATACATAGTGTAATATTACAATGTATAGTCTAAGGTATAGGGTGGTGTATAGTAGTGCAGTATATCATTTAATGTTGGGTTTGTCTATGGCAGTATATAGTACGGGGTAGATCCGTGTGATGTAAGAACAAAGTTTAGCTGGAGGCATATTCAATTTTTTGCGACATAGAATTGTAATGTATGACTTACTGTTAGTAGCTCAGCATATTGGAGAGTATATTTAGTATACTGATGATATTGATGCAGTTTATCTTTTAGTTTTTTATGTGGTGGTCTGGCTGCTGCAGCGCCTTACTATTAAAAATTCCTTCCCTTTATTACTGCTACTTCCTCCCTTTGTTGCTGAGAATCCTACATAATGCACGGACATAATGACTTTGAGACCCCCCCCCCCCCACCTCCCACGCATTCCACAAGTAGTGACTAATCCTATATCTGCATTTTCCATAAATATGCTAAATGCCTCTTGATATGCAAATTCTTTTGTCAAGGCGCCCTTCCTCCTCTAAACCCAGCTTAAATATACGCTGCCAAGCTTGGTGGTGCTCATTCAGATGCTGTCTTTCCGACAGACCTGTTCTTCACATGAGTACGGCTGCTTGCGTTGTGGCCGAAACGTCGTGAGAATTGTATTTTATTATGTTTTATTTTAATTATTTTATTATTTCCCTTCTACGTGACTTTACCGAAAGAACCACGAAGATAAACCTAGTAAACTTAGAAATATAATGCAATACAACACATGTTAACACGCGCATACCTTCCACACTCGACATCACACTCCCCACACATTTCAATCACATATACGGAGGGTGATGGATGGCATAGACACAGTCCCATTTAGTGAGCTCCTCCTGCAGGCGATGCTGATTGGCTAGGCCATGGTAGCCCGCAAGCCAAGCCACTACACATCCTAGCAGCTTTTGTTTGGTCAGATAGAGGGGACTAAATGAGTGTGGCACGGGCTTGACAAGAGAACCGATGTGCGACAGAAGCAAATGAAGATTATTTGATTTGTCGATGATTGGTAACAGCGTTGTCAAGATAGGCTTCTGTGGAAGAGGTGCATTAAAGCTCCTACTGGACAGTGCCGGGCTGGTTGTGGTTTGATATGACTGGGCCATTGGAGGGAGTTGCTCTGCAGTACAGGTGGACGACCCAGGATGCCTCACACAAGCCAGGGTATCTCACACAAGCAGGGTACCTCACACAAGCCAGGGTATCTCACACAAGCCAGGGTACCTCACACAAGCCAGGGTACCTCACACAAGCCAGGGTACCTCACAAAAGCCAGGGTACCTCACACAAGCCAGGGTACCTCACACAAGCCAGGGTATCTCACACAAGCCAGGGTACCTCACACAAGCCAGGGTATCTCACACAAGCCAGGGTACCTCACACAAGCCAGGGTACCTCACACAAACCAGGGTATCTCACACAAACCAGGGTACCTCACACAAGCCAGCGTACCTCACACAAACCAGGGTACCTCACACAAACCAGGGTACCTCACACAAGCCAGGATACCGCACACAAGCCAGGGTACCTCACACAAACCAGGATACCTCACACAAGCCAGGGTACCTCACACAAACCAGGGTATCTCACACAAACCAGGGTATCTCACAAGCAAGGTACCTCACACAAGCCAGGGTACCTCACACAAGCCAGGGTACCTCACACAAACCAGGGTATCTCACACAAGCAGGGTACCTCACACAAGCAGGGTACCTCACACAAGCCAGGGTACCTCACACAAACCAGGGTACCTCACACAAACCAGGGTACCTCACACAAGCCAGGGTACCTCACACAAGCCAGGATACCTCACACAAGCAGGGTATCTCACACAAGCCAGGGTACCTCACACAAACCAGGGTACCTCACACAAACCAGGGTACCTCACACAAGCCAGGGTACCTCACACAAACCAGGGTACCTCACACAAGCCAGGGTACCTCACACAAACCAGGGTACCTCACACAAACCAGGGTACCTCACACAAGCCAGGATACCTCACACAAGCAGGGTATCTCACACAAGCCAGGGTACCTCACACAAACCAGGGTACCTCACACAAACCAGGATACCTCACACAAGCAGGGTATCTCACACAAGCTTAGATACATTTCATGCAGGCCACACTAGCAAAATAGGCAATGTCTCAATGTGTTTATTTCATCTCTTAATTAAATATAATTCCTGTACAACAATAATACCACTTATCAGATTGATCATAACTCCTAACGAGTGGCCTTGGGACTTGCCATGTTTGGCTTCGTCCGTATCTACACCAACAGGCCACCTCCAGCTCTCACAGCCCGAATCAGCTGCCCCTTCCATGTCCTCGAAACCGTGGCCAGGTCATCCTCTGAGGACTGCCAGGATGAAAACCAGCATGAAAGGGCCCGGGATGGGGCCGTCTATGATACTGGGCTAGCTCCGTGTGTGGTGTGTGTGGTATGTGTGTGTCGAGTGTATGTCGAGTGTGTGTGTGTAGAGTGTGTGTGCAGAGTGTGTGTGCAGAGTGTGTGTGTTTAGATTGTGTGTAGAGTGTGTGTGTTGTGTGTGTAGAGTGTGTGTGTTGTGTGTGCATAGAGTGTGTATAGTGTGTAGTGTATATAGTGTGATGTGTGTGATGTGTGTGGTGTATGTGGTGTGTGTGGTGTGCGTGGTGTGTGCATGTGCCAATGGTCGTGGTGTTTACACCAAGACATGTCCATCGTCCGCCCCCCCCCCCCCCCCGACTGCCTCCACCACTCGCAGCTACTTTGTGGTGGACGCTCGCCCTCACAGAGCAGCACACGGCAGAAGAATAAGCCGATTGCTCTTGATGCACGGGCCAGATGCGACCTCTTCTTCCTCTTACACACCAACTCTGTCTCCTGCTCCACTGCCTCCATCTCCTGCTCCACCATCTCCTTGTCCTCCTGTTCCTCTGAGGTCACGGCGAGTGGGGAGAGCAGCATGGTGGTGGTGGTCGTGATAGCGGCGATGGTCATGGTGGTCGTGATTGTGGTGGTAGTCGTCCTGGAGATGGCTGACCCTGGTTCCTGCAGCCAGCTGTGTGCCAGCGCCTGTTCAGGTGTCAGGCGCTCGGCCGGATGCCACCTGTTGTGATGCACAGACACACGTGGCGCACGTGGAAGCAGAAGCAGCAGTGCTCTGCTGTTGTCAACACCATCTTAGACCATCTGCTGCTGAGAAGGCCGTCAGATGTTCCACTTGTGCTCCCCACTGTACTACTTCGTTGAATGTTAGCCATCCGTTGCTCTGCTCATTTGTGAGTGTCTCTCCTGTGTCCCCTGTTGCTGGAGGGCGACTGCCTCCAACTCCCTAGATGCTTCAAATGCATCTAGCCTGGAACTGCCCAGAAGTGTCCTTCATGTGCATCCTCTACAGAGGGTGATTGTGACATTGCTGGCACCAGTTCTTGGCAAGTCCAATCAGTTCCATATCCTCCTGTACCGCATCCGTCCATCTCTTATCTAGCCTGTGTCGTGCCTGGTGAATCCGCTCTATCTAGCCAAACAAAAGCTGCATGGGCAGCTGGCCAAATAGGTGGGAATGTGTCCAGACCTTCAAGCATCTGTGAGCTTCTCACACAATCAAATCTGGTTCGACCTAGGATTGTAGGCAGGCCAGCCTGATTGTTTCATACCAGCGCAGATGTTGAAACCTGTTCAGATTTCACAAGCATAGCGAAGGGAGGACATAACTTTGGTTGAGAAGACCTGTTGCTTCATATGGAGTGATACACCAGGTAGCTTCCAGACAGTGTAACACAGCCGAAAAAATAATAATGCAGCTCGATTGAATCAATCACCTACACACCTATACACAGAAAAGACAAAGACACACCCAATCACCCGTAGACATACACACACAAATACAAAGATCCTCCATATAGTCTGAACAGACTTTTGGGAGAAATGCTTTTAGCGAGTACCTATGAAGGCTGGCACAGCATATGAGGGGGTGGTTGGCCAGCACCACGCACAACCACCTTTGTCTCCCCACAAACAGCATTAAGTGCACACACACACATACACCCACTTCTCCACACATGTGCTGGTCTCCGTTGGTCTTTTATTTAGTTTCTTTCTCCGCACCCCGCTGGTCCTGTCAGCGGACCAGCATCTCCTCGCGCGCGCCCCGCACGCGCTCCCTCGTCAGCTCCTCCGCTCTTCCTCACACCCTGCTGGTCCCGACAGAGGACCAGAGTCTCCTCGCGCGCGCCCACGCACGCTCCTCCATTAGTTCCTCCACTTCCGCACTCCGCACACCGCTGGCCGACGGCGTGCTGAAGGTCCTTCGGCCACATGGCCGATGGCGCGGATCCCCTCTCACCACCCAACGTGGCTCAGCCTCTTTACTCCCGCAACTGACCCCGATCCCTTCTGGGCTCCCACCTATATCCTCTCTCCCACGTGACCCTGACTCCTCCCCTTCCGGATCGTCAGATCCGGCCTTCCCATACTGCTCTGCTGGCTCCACCCCCTTTCACCTCGCTTCCAATTGGAGCCGAGGTGAACGGCGGCCCCTCCCACACACCCCCCATACTGGGCTCCGCCCCCCAATACCCCGGGCCGTGTGATTGGGCCAAGCCCAGCACCAAACCCCATTTACACTCGCATTACACATGCATACAGTATACACACACAGATGCAGCGGTGACGTGATATAGCAGTGGCGTGCTCACTGCTTGTTGCAAGAGGTTCGTCATCAAATCCAGTAGTTGTCCTAAACAAGATTGTGGGTGTATTAACCGTAAATATATGTGCCCTTTGTCAATATCTTGGTTTGTATGTAAGCATGTGGTTCTCTGTGTAAGCAGTGGCGGAGCCAGTTGGGGGGGTGGCACGTGCCCCTAATTTTGATCGGATTATTGGGGTTATTAGTAATAAATTGGCATTTTGTGACCCCCACTGCCACTGTGTTGCATATTATTACGTGCCAGGGAATCTATGAGATGATAGGACAATAGTCTGAGTTCATAATTGGCAATAAGTAACGGCAAAACAGTTATAAGTAACTCACAAAATTGTGCGCAGTTGTGTATACGTTACACGACTTCCCTGAAGGCATACCTTCAGCGAGCGCGATGCCTTCCGCGAGCACACGCGTCGAATAAAAAGCAAGGGACAAGTCCTTAATTACTAACAACTCCTATAATTTTTCGTGGCTGGAGGGCTTGCCCCCCTACCTGAAAATCTGGGCTCCGCCTCTGTGTGTAAGTATGTGTGACTATGGATATCTATGTAAGTGTATGTGACTCTACGGGTCTCTATGTACGTCTATGTGACTATGGGTGTCTCTTGGGGGAGTGACAGGTGCAGGGGGGTTGTTACCGTAGGCAGCTGGAGACAAAATCTACCAAGGTGGGGTCACAGGCGGCGAGCACCTCGTTGAGTGGGTAGCTCCCTGAGAATATTCTCTCATTCCCAGGTATCCTCGAGCCGTCTGTGGGAATGACGAGATGCAGGAGGAACACTGTCACAAACCACGTCGGCCTCGCACAGCTACCACCGCAGAAACGCAAAAAACGTAGCATGATGACTTGGCGCATGTTGTATATGTTGGGTTATGAATTTTTGATGAAAATAAGACAAATAAATAATTTTCCAAAAAATGCGCAAATCGCATTAATTATGTTAATGTAGGTATTAATATGCATAAATTATGATACTGCGTGTAATTATATGCATAAATTATGATAATCACGGATATAATCGTAGTAATTTATGCGGATGCTTGCGATTATGTTAATGTGTGTAGTTATGATAATTAGGCTCAGCTTCGTTTATCCAGAGTTATATCAATCAGGATAACACGATTATCATAGAGTCATTTACCGATTATCCTAGTGTGTGTTATGATATTTTAGGTCTCCAGTTTCAGATCTCATCACAGGATACAGTACTCAAGAATAAGACAGTTTTGCATGGACTTGGAAGGAACACTCGATATGCTTCTGTGATAACAATTTTATTCTAACAAGCATGTGACATTCTATCATGCAGGTCACACATGCGTCAATAATTCATGAGCAAGATTATGCAATCACAATCGGCGACTGGCCGAGTTTGAAAACAAGCATGACACACTTCATATGGCGGTAATAAAGCACTTATTGTATCCCAGAGGCGAAAGTATGTCAATAGATTCATCGGCAAGTATAAAATCCTTTTAACAGAATGTTTGAGTCAATGGTGGGTGAGGCGTGTGTGTGGTATGAGAGCGGATCTGGCTCTGTTTTAATTAATTCTTTGGCGAGACTCTGACAAAGAAACCGGTTTGACAAGATATTATCTGTGCTTCCTTGAGCCTATGCGTGTGGAAACAATACGACCCTGTTTGGAGATTTCCTCACAGCCCGTGCGGATTGCAGCCGAGACTTTCTCCGCTGCGAGGTGAGCGGCGGCGCTTGGCGGCGCTCGGTAGCTGACGGCGCGATGGCACCTCTCTGCAGCTCTGACGGCGGCGCTCGTTCGGAAGACTTTGACTCTCTTTCTCCACTGCGGGATGACGAGTCGGTTTTGGTTGATGCTGGTTGATCTGGGTGTGTATTAGACACACGGCGCATTCAACAGCGCTGTCCTCCTCCTCACAGCCGGCTGACCAGGCTTTCTCCACTGCTTTGCGCTCTCTGCTTTGCTCGCTTGGCGATCTCCGCCTTTCCTGCGGGTTGTTCGCTGGTCGTCACTCTGACGAGGAGCGATGCTTCGTTCGTGGCAGGGTGGACGTTGGCGTCTTTGTTGTGGCTTCACTCGCAGCTCGGCGACTCAGGGTAGTGATTCTTCTCAGGTGGTGCAGACCTCGGCTTGTTGCTGCACGTCGCTACCCCGCGAACCTCGTCATTCTGGATGACGAAAAACTTCTTCGTTGGCGGTGACGAGAGGTGGTGGAGCTGGAGCCCTTGACGAGATGGGGGCCAGAGCCCCTGACGAGATTTGGTGGAGCCGGAGCCCTTGATGATCTGTGGTGGAGCCGAAGCCCTGGCGACGAGATGGGGCCTAGAGCCCCCTGACGATCTTCTTTGGATGGATTTTTCCTCGGTTTATATTGGAAATTCCACTCAGTTTCCCGAGTTGTTCAAAAGGCTGTGTCATAAAACATTCCTGTGGGGGTGAACCATCTGCGTCCGTGTGTGTGTCGTGTGCGTGTCCGTCCGTGTGTTTATTAGCTTTGAAGACACAGCTGTGTGTCGTTCTGGAAGAAGGGGTGGGGGGGGGGGGGCCTCGTGACGGCGCCACCTAAGTTATCCATTAACCAGACCGATGATTCGCGTTCGCATTGAGTTATATATAAAAAAAGTATTCGAATCCATGTTTTTGTTACTGAATAATATTTGTCGCGAAAACCTACGCGTTAAGCGAGCTTAATTATTCCCTCCCTTGCTCGGAGATCATATCTTTTGTCTCACACAGCTTAAGTTGTTTTGGTTTGGAAGTTGAAATGCTACTTATTTGCTGCTTGGTTCCATTATGCCCAAGTTATGCCGAAACCGTGTTCACGATGTTTCATCGTGACCCGATCTCCCATGGAAATGTTATTTGCTCGCGTGTGCAATTTGCTGTCCGTGTTGCGGGGAGACAAAGACGGTTGTTTCCACGGTGGAAGCACCCGGCGCATGCCCTTATTTATTTAATTATTTATTCGAAGACGTGTGTTAATTTCCTTTGAGCCATTGCCCCAACCTTTATTGGTGTCATATCCTGGCTTTGTGCCTGCGTGTGGAGATCCTCTCGGAAAGACAAAGACGGCCGTGTTGCTCGCTTCTCATGGGGTGTTGCGTTTGGTTAATTATGAGAGACTTTTCCGCCCTTAGCTCCTCTAGGAGATCCACTTTAATTCCGTACTTATTATTTGACTTCTTGTGATTATTTAATCTGATATCCCGGCTAGGAATGTTGTTTTGGAGCGAAATAGATGCCATAATTATTATTTGATGCTTCGGCCCGGCCGTGTAGAAATTCTTTAAAGGTAAATAATGTCAGTATTTAATTAACAATGATGGGTCGCGATTCTGGTGCAGACTGTAGTCTGGTTTCCAATTGGAGTGAGGATAGATACTGTTTGCTTAATCTTCATGGCTAAGTTGGTAACTTTGTGTATCTAACATGGTTTAAAAACCCGTCTGTGCTTTTTGTCGTCAATGCTGTTTCTTTGTTAAGAATATAATTATCTCTTCCTGCGTGGTGCCTGGTTTTGTGAGGCTTTCTAACAAAAGGATGTCCTCCTGACCCTCCGCCTGCCATTCCCCCCTCCCTTGTTCCTCTTGTGTGAAATTAGGGGAGTTTTTATTACCTTTATTGCCCTCTTTCATGCCCTCTAGTCTTTTGAGATGAGGTATGTGCATCTGTGGAAGTGTGGGGGCGTGTCTGTTCCCACGTTGCCGCGTGTCTATTAAAAAAAACGATATTATATATGTTGGCAGAATAATTCTTAAAAAAAAAATAATATAAAAAAAATAAAAAGGGGGTATATACACAACACGCAGGGTTGGGATCCGCCACACCACCCTGGGTTTTTACTGCGGTATGAATTTTTACCATGAAATATATTGAGCCGTTTGATTTGCAAGTGCCAGTTAAATACCCCCATAACATCACTCCAAAGGAGTAGACCGTTGTGTGCCAACGTCATGGTCCGAATTAGAAAATGTACACTGACAATGACTTAATTGGGATGAGACATGGCGACATTAATCCTGACTTGCCATTACTGCTTACTTAGTCTGTGATTTCCCGAACCTTCGATTATTCGATTAGCACTGTTGGCTTTGTATGGTGTGAAAGAAATTCAACGTATATACATAGCTGTGCACTTTCGGAAGAACGCACATACTAAATACGCGACATTTTTATTAACTATTATGTTAAACCCTATAGGATCAATAGATGGGTTTTAATAACTTTCATTTGACTTCACAAATCATATTTTTACCATTTAAAACCTATAACCCAAACAACCAACGTGAATCACAATGGTGCATTAGGTATACTAAGGCATGGGTGGTGGGAATATTTTTTTCCATCTGGCCAAGATGTCCAATTTTGTGTCGTAATACCCTCCACCACCCAACGCAGCCAAACAAAACAATTGGTCATGACGTGTTGTTTAATCGTTTGATGGCGACTTCCTGAATTTTGTTCTGACTTATGACCTCATGTTCTGGATATGTTTGGTGCAGTGTCTAGCGCAGCACCATTATCTAGTTGGCAAATTTGGTTGTTGTGAGGATTTCTCTTCAATGTGTCCCAGTGATTGAGCTGAAACGACCATAATTGGTGTGTCGTTTCAAAGCTTGTGCATGTGGCCATTGAATTTGTTTTGGCTTTTTGGGTGGCGGATGGTCCTGAGGACACAAACATGACCAGATTTCACCATCCCCTGCAGCTCCCTGCAGGGAGCTTTATCCCACACATACCGAGGAGGCACCCCCAGGACCTACGCACGAGTCAGACAAAGACAAAGGTTCCCCATAAAACCTTAACAGATATTTGCAGAAAGTGCTATTAGCAATCACCACATTAGGTACTCGATTCAGGCTGCGCCAATCTAGGGGAGACCCAGGACTGGTTTTGATAGTCAGTGGAAATGGAACTCGGGTTGTGCACTAACCACTAGACTACCGTTCCCCATGGTTTTGGCATAGGCAGCTTTAATAGCACGGTCCAACCTCAGGCCACTCGCCACGAGTTTTAGCGGTTCTAATCTGGTGGATGTCCTGGATAATTCTAGGATTTGTATTATTAACCGTATGGTCTGCTTCATTCACATGGAAGATAGTCAGCGATTTTGGTCCCACGTTACAGCTCAAATTTGCCAAGTTACTTGTAAATTAATAAACTATGGCTACACAGCTGAAGCAATCATTGCTTTATACTGACAGGCTGACGCCCGTTTGTAGGCCAGATTCTGGCTCGTATTGTGTCACACAGGAACAGCTGCCACTGGGCGTGCCCAATCAGCTGCTGGACAAAATATGTCGTGAAAGTCATTGCATGCCAAGTGCTCTGAGATGCTCTGAGTAAACGGTGCTCTCTGAAAACCAAATAAGTATCTAAAAAAACTACCACGAGTGATTGCAGCAATCCCTGGCAAGCTGTGAATTTATCAACTGGGAAGTTTGAGTACATGCGAATTTATTTCTATATACCTGCTTACCAACAGCGGCCTTCGAAATTTGAGTATCCACAGGTAAGGTGTTAAGCAAGTCACATTACATGTGTATTATGTCATTACATAACAGCATGATATCATGGTATTGCGTAAAGCCATTACGAACGTACTGCGTATCGATACGTTTATTTTCATAAGAGGTTTTTTTGGGTTAGATCGCGTAAATATATAAATGTGTCGTTAAAATCCGCCACCACCCAACACAGCCAACGAATAAGGGTTGTCACGTAAACAGAACATGCCAATTTGTCACTAGTACAGCACACCGGTGTGTTGGAGAGCCAAGCCACAATATTTACAATCTGAGTACAACGTTTCGTCAGTAATTACAACTAGCTTCATCAGGCCACAGCTAGATTTGTGGAGAAGTCCAACTGTTTCTTTCCTTATATAGAGGCGTGGGCCCAGACTTACAACTGCCTTCCAGCTGCTCACAACGAGTCTGTTGTGAATAAGTCTCTTACACGTATTACACACAATGTAGAATGACCGCTATGCGCCAAATCATTACGTAAGTCTGACCAAAAAATTAACTGCAGTGTGTGTCATACCTCTATGTAGCACAGGAACAGGTCGTTGAAGTTAGAGACCTTGAAGAGGAGCTTTCCCGAGGCCATCTCTGCCACCACACAGCCGAGTGCCCACATGTTCACTATGATTCCACAGTTCAATCCAAGGAAAACCTCTGGAGCCAGGTATTGGTATGTAGCGAATACCTTTAACCCTGTGCATGACAAACACAGAGACTCACGTAAAGCCTTTAATAACATCATCACACAGTATCACCACCCACAGCGTCATCAGACACACACAGTGACAAGTACACAAAAATAAAAATATCACCCATATAGCCTTTAACAGACTGTTGGGGCAAGTGCTGTTTGCAAGTACCTATAAAGGCCGAAAAGGCACATTAAGTGGTGGGTGGCCAACACCGTGCCCGGCCGCCACCTTTGTCTCCCTCATGGCAATGTTAATGCACCACATCAGGTACTCATTTAAGGCTGAGTGGACCTAGTGGAGGCCCATCACCGGTTTACGATAATCGTCACTGGTGTTGAACGTGAGCGTGAATTGAACTGAGGATAAGGGTTTCATAGCGCAGCACAAGGACTGCTATACTACCGCTCCCCACACACATGCTTGCATATGTAGAGGTGTAATTGCGCATGTATACGAATGTTGAGGTGTGATTATGCATGGCCACGGATGGCCAACAAACACAAGGGGCGGGGTTACGGCCGTACACAAGGGTGGCGCTCGCACCGACGTCCGCATGTGTATCCCCCACGGGCCCCCCCCCTTGGGGGCAAGTCCTATAAAAGGTGATGAGCCGAAAGGCTCGGGAGTCGGGACTCAGCTATAACCAGAGAAGACGGAAGACCAGCTAGTGTAGGCCCCAGAGCTCCCCTGGCTCGCTGTCCTTATAAGGGCCGACCAGGGCAAGCCGGTGGCGTGGCCCCGAGAGCCCAGACGAAGCTGGTCTGGTGACTCAGGGAGCCGGGATCCCAGCTTAACCAAGCTGGGACAGATAGCCTCCCCTAGTCCCGTAGTGGAGGAATTGGTATAGGTTAGAGGGGTTAGCTGTCGAGAAATCCCTGTAGCCCAGTGACCTGTAAATAACTGTGTTGGTGTAATAAATAAGTGTGCCTCCGATCCTGTCGTCAAGCCTCCATATACTTACTACATCTGGTGTCAGAAGTAAAACGTCCAAACGATGGACACACGAGGGACGACACGTACCAAGGAGTCGGAGATGGAAGACGCCGCGGCCGATTCAACACCAGAGATGGCCGGGGTCGGATCGGAGCAGCCGGGGCCAAGTACGCCCGTGCCGCTACGACAAGAGGGGGGGGATGCGTCGGCTGAAGGACTCCGGCTGGCCCACTCCCGCCTGGCGGAACTGCTCTACGCCGCCGCCGCTGCGTTGGAGGAGATCACGCGGCTGGGGGCTGGAGGGGCAGCGCGGGTCGACGACAGCAGCCGGCGCGCGGCAACGTTTCCCGCCACCCCGACGCGGCTGGCGGTTAAATTTCCCGCCATCTCTACAGTGCGAGCGGACGGCGGGGCCGGCCCGCGTCACGTGACTGCTGAGCGCCAAGCACAAGCCGTGACATCATCAACACCGGCCGGCGCGTCAACATCGGAGCGACCGGCGATGCCATGTGCACAGCCCGCCCACACTGTATCATCGGCGGGGAGCGACGGAGAGCGATCTACAGCCACGGACGTCGCCTTGCAGCAGCGTCTGCCACCTCTGAAAGAGTTCGTAGGCGCAGACGGAGACTGGGGCGGCTTCAAGAGACGGTTCATCGCTCATCAGGAGATGGCGAACTGGACGGACGCCGAGGCTCTACGCGCGCTGCCAGCGATGCTGGACAACGACGCCCTGGCTACCCTCACCTCGGCGCCGAGGGAAAAGCGCGCCACCCTACACCTGGCGTTGCAGCTGCTGTCAGCCGTCTATGGGCCGCCTTCGGACTGCAGGCAGCTTTTCCACGATCGGCGTCGGGGCACCAACGAATCACCTCTGGCCTTCCGGACTGCTCTCCTGGCTCTAGCGAAGGCTGCTTTCCCAAGGATGGACGAGGAAGGAGTGGATGCCATGGTGGCTGAGAAGCTGCTGCTACTCGCTGATGAGCTGGACGTCAACGTCCTGGCTCAAGACGACTCAGAGATGTCGTCCCTGCTGGTCGCGCGCCACATCCACGGGGGCTTGCGGTCCCTTCGTCGAAAGGCGGCAAAGGGGGCGGCCAGCCATGCCATGGCGGCTACCGCCCTCCCATCGGAGGAGGTCTGCGGGGTGGAGCGGCGAGGGGAATGGAGAGCGGCAGTACCACAGGCTCGGAATGGACCGAGCCGCCAGGAGCAGCCCAGGACATCGGGGGCGCTCACACGCTGCTACAACTGTGGCCTGCAAGGCCACGTTGCGTCAGGATGCCGGGCTCCCCGTCAGCGCGGGGCGACACCTCGTCAGGACGCCACGCCGTCTCCTCCCAAGCTCCAGCAGAGAAATACGGCGAGTCGCGGCACCTCACACGTTTGGCCCACGCACACATCCGACACACACTCACGCGCCCAACTAAACAGGGCTCCAAATTCCCCATCCGTCGCGCGCGATCGTTCGGTAATGCGGCGGGCGCTCCAACCGGGTCAGTGGTCGGAGCTCGCCCATCGTGTCGTTGCTGCGTCGGCGGGATCTTCGGTCGTGGTCGGTCACATTGATGGGGTAGAGGTGCGGATTTTAATTGACACAGGGGCATCGGCGACCATTATATCTGATTTAATTTATAACATCCTTCCCGTTCAAAGTCGTCCCTTGCTCCCTGTTGACGTGCCGTGCTATGCCGCTAACGGGGGCTCTCTGGGCATTATTGGCCAAATCCGCGCCACTATCTGCATTGGGGACATTAAATTATCCGGGCCTGTTTTGGTTTCCTCCTCACTCGCGGTTCCGTGCCTGTTGGGGACGGATTTTCTGGCCAAAATGCCCATCCGCATCCTTATTGACCAAGGGTGCATTGAGCTCCCATCGGGCCGACGCGTTACATTTCTGTCTTCCCCCACCACGGAGCGTCGGGCGTTTGCCACCGTGCAGGCGCTCGTCACAAAAACTGTGCGCGTGCCTCCGGGGGCTCAGATGCTCGTCCCTCTTAGATTGCGTCGGCCGTTTAATGAAGGGGTTGCGGATCGGGGGGTCTTGTTGGGACCATCTCGGGCCGGGGTAAATGGACCAGATTTGCTCGCGGCTCAGACCATGGTGAGGGGGGATGGGGACCCCTTCATTGCAGTCCTTAATGTGGGATCGCGAACGGCCGTGGTTCCTCAAGGGACCGTGCTTGCACACGCAACGCCGGTACCCTATGAGGAACCACTCGTGGGTCAGGTATCCACCGATCCTCCGTCGCGACCGCATTCGGACTGTGATGACGGTTGGCTGGATGCGCTTTGCGCGGGTTCAGTGGACCTGTCCGACTCGCAGCGCGCGCAGCTGCGAGTTCTTCTGAGCGAATTTGCTGACGTTTTTAGTCAACACAAATTTGATATTGGTTGTACTAAATTGCTGCGACACCATATTGACACGGGTGACAGCGCGCCAATCCGCCAAAATCCCTTTCGGTTGAGTCCCGCCGAAAAGGATCATGTCAAATCGGCTGTTGATGACATGCTAGCCGCCGATATCATTTCCCCTTCCAATAGCCCGTGGGGCGCGCCGATCGTTTTGGTGAAAAAACACGACGGATCACTGCGGTTTTGTGTCGACTTTCGGCGTCTGAACAAAATCTCTGTGGCAGATGCGTACCCGCTTCCTCGAATGGATGAGTCGCTCGATGCCTTGGCGGGGGCGCGATTCTTTTCCACCCTCGATTTGCTATCTGGATTCTGGCAGCTTCCTCTGGATGACGAATCAAAACCTAAGACTGCTTTTCGGACACCGCAGGGTCTCTTCCAATTTAACCGCTTGCCGATGGGTTTACATTCTGCGCCGGCAACTTTTCAGCGGTTAATGGAATTGGTCTTGGCAGGGTTGCAATGGGATTCGTGTTTGATTTACTTAGACGATGTCATCGTCTTTAGCAAATCCTTCGAGGAACACCTCCAGAGGTTGCGTGCTGTTTTTCTCAAAATGCGGGCTGCCAATTTGAAATTTAAACCACAGAAGTGCCATTTACTCCGCGAATCGGTGCGATATTTGGGTCACATTGTTGGGCGCTCGGGGATATCCACTGATCCCGCCAAAACGGAATGCGTCAGCTCCTGGCCGACTCCCACCTCTGTGGGAGAGGTCAGGAGTTTCATTGGGTTCGCGTCGTATTATCGGCGATTTGTGGCTGACTTCGCTACGATTGCGAAACCTTTGCATGCCTTGATGTCCAAGGGAGTCAGGTTTCATTGGGGGCCGGAGGAGGAGGCTTCTTTTCGCGCCCTCCGGAATGCTTTGGTGGGGGCGCCGCCGTTGAATTACCCGGATTTTTCACAACCCTTCTTGCTCGATACAGATGCAAGTAACACGGGCATCGGGGGCGTGCTGTCCCAGCTCATTGGGGGCGTAGAGCATGTGGTGGCTTACGGTAGTCGGGTACTGTCTCCAGCCGAACAGCGGTACTGCGTTACCCGTCGGGAATTATTGGCGATTGTTTATTTCATTCAGCAGTACCGCCCGTATCTGTACGGTCGGCGGTTCACCGTCCGTACAGATCATGCGGCCCTACAATACGCCCTGCGGGTTCAACAACCATCGGGCCAGTTGTCTCGATGGTTGGAGATTCTCCAAGACTATGACTTTGTCACCACATATCGTAAGGGTCTCCGCCACACGAACGCTGACGCCCTGTCGCGATTGCCACCCACTTCGGAGTGCGCGTGCCTCTTGGGTTCGGGGCGTTGTAGGTCTCCGAACGTCACCACCGATTCGGTCCTCGTGGCCGCTGCCGATGCACCTTCGGTTTCGGGTCCTATCGAGCAAGAAGGGAGGGATTCGTTGCTGGGGTTGTCAGTCGCGGAATGGGGTCGCCTCCAAATGGAGGACACCTCCCTCCTCGCTCTGCGCCGTCGCGCCGGGGGGATTGGCCAGGGGGTGGAAAACGTTGACTCGTGGGGGTTGTTCCAGGGACTTTTGATGCACTGGAATGGTAAAACCCGGCGCCAGCGGCTCGTGGTGCCTGCTGCTTTAAGGGGTAAGGTGGTATGGGCTGTTCATGAGCGGCTTCTGCACTTGGGGGTTCATAAGACCTTTGCCACGCTCCAGCTAGATTTCTTCTGGCCGGGCATGGAAAAGGACGTGGGGGACCTCTTGGGGTCGTGCACGCAATGCGCGCAGAGGAAGCCACCTGCTAGGGGATCCAACCCTCCGCTGCAGTCCATAAAAGTTTCCAGGGTTAACGAGCTCGTCGCTCTGGACATACTTGGCCCATTTCCCGCTACACCCAGGGGCAATAGGTATTTACTAACGGGGGTTGAATACTTCACGAGATGGCCTATGGCCTGGCCCCTGGCGAACCAATCGGCAGCAGCCATCGCGGAGGCCTTTGTCCAGGGCTATGTCCTCGACAAGGGTGCTCCGGAACGGCTGCTTACTGACCAGGGTAGGAATTTTTCTGGTAAACTCCTACGTGAGGTGTGCGACCTCTTGGGTACGGAGAAGGTTCGGACCTCTCCGTATCACCCACAAACTGACGGGATGGTGGAACGGCTGCATCGGACCATCACGTCCATGCTGTCCCAGCAGGTGTCGGTATCCCAGACGGATTGGGACCTCCGCATAGCCGGTGTGTTGCAGGCCTACAGAATGGCTCCCCATGCGGCCACCGGATTTTCCCCTTTCTTTTTAATGTATGGGCGCGAAGTTAACCCTCCTGTGGCGACCCAGCTGAAGCTCTCGGCGCTCCAGGCGAAGTCTAAGTTGTCCGAACACGTTAAATTTAACATCGCTCAATTGTCTGAGGCGCGGGAAGCGGCCGTGCAAAATTCTGAACTCCGCCAGAAGGCGAACGAGAGGCTTCGGTTGGGGCGGGTGCAGGTGGTCAAATGGGTACCAGGGGACAGGGCGTGGTTGCACTGTCCTCAGGTGCCGCTGGCAACCTCGTCGAAATTGGTACGGCCGTGGCGGGGGCCAGTGGAGGTCGTGCAGGTTTTGCGGCCGCAATGTGTTCGCGTCAAATGGGGGAGGCGCCGGTGGTATGTGCACCCCTCAAGGTTAAAACCATTCGTCACGCCGCCCCGGGGTTCACACACACACACGCATGGCCAAACGTGTGAGGGTGTCGCCGACTCCCCGTCGTCGCTGCACTCGCCTAACCTGACGCCAACTGTTCCGCCCCCAGGTGAAACAGGAGTGACGGGCCCACGCCCACCAACCCCTCCCGGAGGGGTCGGGGGTCACTCGGCAGCGGAGCCTGACCCTCTTGCACCCGGACCGTCAACAACCGTCACTGAGCGTGCCGGGACGGACCCTTGTGACGGACCCGCCGCGAGAACGTGCGCCAAAACGCGCAGACTTTTGTGAGGTCGGCCGTTGGGGGGCCTTGCGGACAAAAGGGGAGGGGTGTTGTGAGGTCGGCCGTTGGGGGGCCTTGCGGACGATGGGAAAGGTGACGTCCGGAGTGTATATATATGTTGGTTTTGGGGTGTTATCCGGGGGGGGTGCGTCGGGTTATTTTTTTTCTCTCTCTCTCTCTTCCTCTCGTTGTTCTTGTTCTTGTTAAAAATTACGCGAGGCACACACGGGGTTTTTGTGAGGGATGCACCTTTATTCTGATTTTTTTTGCAGCCGGGGACGGCTGCGAGCTGTACAGGGGGGGGTGATGTAGAGGTGTAATTGCGCATGTATACAAATGTTGAGGTGTGATTATGCATGGCCACTGATGGCCAACAAACACAAGGGGCGGGGTTACGGCCGTACACAAGGGTGGCGCTCGCACCGACGTCCGCATGTGTATCCCCCACGGGCCCCCCCCCTTGGGGGCAAGTCCTATAAAAGGTGATGAGCCGAAAGGCTCGGGAGTCGGGACTCAGCTATAACCAGAGAAGACGGAAGACCAGCTAGTGTAGGCCCCAGAGCTCCCCTGGCTCGCTGTCCTTATAAGGGCCGACCAGGGCAAGCCGGTGGCGTGGCCCCGAGAGCCCAGACGAAGCTGGTCTGGTGACTCAGGGAGCCGGGATCCCAGCTTAACCAAGCTGGGACAGATAGCCTCCCCTAGTCCCGTAGTGGAGGAATTGGTATAGGTTAGAGGGGTTAGCTGTCGAGAAATCCCTGTAGCCCAGTGACCTGTAAATAACTGTGTTGGTGTAATAAATAAGTGTGCCTCCGATCCTGTCGTCAAGCCTCCATATACTTACTACACATACACACATACACAGCTACACACACTCACACACAGCAACAACAGTTGCCATTCGTCACTAAGTGGTGGTGACATCACCAGGGTGCTTGTGCCAGTTCAGGTGCACTCCCAGGCTACGTAAAGTGCCGAAGGCTCGCTGACAGGTCGCAGGACAGAATAATTTGTTTTTTATTTTACCAGGTAAGGCCCACTGAGCTATTTAGCTATTTTTCAGAAGCCATCTGACTACAAATGATAGCTCAGCAAAGTTGCATATCATGTGCAAATGTATAGCAGCCAAAGACTCTAAAAGCATGTTTCTAAATTTACAGGGAAAAACCGGAGGACCCAGAGAAAAATCCATGTGACCACGGCAAAAAAGGCATGCAATATACAGGCGTCAAGATCGAGATCGTACCCACAACCTCCTTTATACTAGGGGAGGTAGTCAAAATCTCACCACCGTGGTGTTGGGTTGGCTGGATTTGTGTGCTCCTTGCACAATACTCTTCCAATTTTCTGCATTTTAGCGATTCGACACTCCGATCATTGTCGTGAGCATCGCTCTTCTGCCCTCTGTTGTTGGGGGATAACTACCTCCAACTGCCCAATAGCGTTCTTCATGACATCGCGAGTCTTGAGCAAGTCCACTGAGCTCCACATCCTTCCCATATTGCAACAGTCCACTCTTCTCCAGGCCGTACCACGTCCGTTTAGCCCCCTCTGTCCGGCGAAACAGAAACTGCCTGGGCATGCGGTGGCTGGGCATGCAGGCTACATGACACAGCCAATGCAGCATTGCCCATCGGAGGAGTTCACTGATGAAAATGTGTCCAACTCTTTCAAGGATTTGTGTGCTCCTTGCACAATCCAGCCTGGTTAAACACAATATGGATCATAGGCAGGCCATCCTGAAAATTTCGAACCGGTGCAGATATTCTAGGAGAGGGGTCCACATCCCAAAAGCAAAGAAAAGGGAGGGCAAGACTGTTGCCAAAAATACCAGTATATTTGTGTGGAGTGACAGACCAGGTAGTTTCCACACAGCGTTAAGCAGCTGATCAAAAGATAATGCTGCTCGACTGATTCGGAGTGAGACCTCTGCTGCCAAACTGGATTTGGTCATAAGCACACTGCCCAGGTATGGACACTTCACTCTCTCCACAACTGCACCATCACGATGGGGAGTTGACTCAGTGGAGTACTGGATTATACAAAATACTTGAGCAGGTGCTTAATTTGGTGGGGCTGATAGTAAGGCTCATCTCTTAGTGGCACGTTGCAGGTTCAGCAGCAGAACATCCAACTCATCAGTGAGTAGCAACCACCAGATCATCACTGTGCATAGCATGGTTGACCAGGAGGATCAGCCTCCCATTGTATCTGTACCAGATTAAAATTCCACAGGTACAGCCATGGAAGGCTTCTCGAACTACGTAGTCGAAGATGATGTAAACAATGGAGGAGCCAGATGAGATGCCTGTCGCACCGCAAGATGAACAGGGAATGGCTCCGACTGGTGTTGCTCATGAGCGAGAATTGAACTCGGGTCGCCAGGTTCGTAGCGCAGCACGCTAACCGCTACACCACCGCTCGCACACCCACACACATACTCATGCATGCAGTTGAGGTCACTTACTTTGAGAAGTCTCATGGAAGCTGCAACCAAAGTCCGTTACCCACACGGTCCCAGCCACGGGGTCCTTGACCAAGATGTTGCCCTAGACCAAGGGTCGGTAACGGAAATAACAAGAAGATACATTTTTATATAAATTTGGTGAAAAAAACTCAATATTTCAAGAGCCGTGATGCACTGTGTGGTGAATACGATACGGTGGTCCTGAATAAAAAACATGACGAAGCAGTCCTTAAAGAGCCGCACACAGCTCTGGAGATGCAGGTTACCTATCCCTACCCTAGATGAAGAGCGGCAGAAGTCGTTCACGCTCAGAGGTTATGATAATCAAAATTTCGGGAAGCAAAGGATGGATCATTTAAAAGGTGTCCAATGAGGTGAAGGTCTGTCGACTTTAGAAAAGGGAATATTTTTTTCTCATGGATGCCACTCGAGGTGCCCCTTTCAAATGTGATGAGATGCATGTTTAATATTGCACGTACAGAAGCTGTTACATGAAACCCTAAGCTGAGAGCTGTAAGTACGAGTTAATGATTACGCAAATTCATCCACAGCATGGATTTAGCAATGCTATCCACCGCGCTTTTGTATTTGAATATATCCAAATAGCACCATAGAAGCCGCTGGATGATAGGTGTTGGGCAAATGTGCGATTTCAAATCGTGCTTTTTCCTTTGGGTTGTCTCTCTAAAGATGCATTTAAAATTTTTGATACTTCTACTGATGCTCCTGCTGTTGTGGAGTGACTCATGCAACCAGCTATGGCTACAGGGTTTGTTCTAGATTTGAAGCTTTCGTGACTGCAAGGATTCATACTCTTAGTTCTTTCGGTAAAGTCACGTAAAAATGAAATTAAAATTAATTAATTTTAATTTCATTTTTTACCTACGTGACTTTGCCGAAAGAACTAAGAGTACAGGATTTGTTGTTTATGTCGTTTATTGTGAAATTTCAGTCACAGTTCCTATGATCACTGTTACATTGCTTTTATGGCTTTATTTTGGAGATTTCAAAAAGTTTTTGGTTTGACCATGTTTGTTTGTTGTAGTACAGAGTTAGACTGATGGCTTTAATCTAAGTTGTCTTGTGGTTGTTGTTGTTGTTGTTTGACTTGCATCCCATTGGGATTTTTGTACACAGCATTGGTGTACGGTGCTTTTTCTGGAAGATTTTGCTGTTTTTTCCTGGATTTTTCTGTTTGCGCATAGTCACTTTAAGATGTTTTCCTGTTCCTGTTTTTGTTTTTTGTTTATTGCGGTTGCACCCGATTCAAGAGCCGAATGGCTCACAGGGCTATACCAAATAAATGAAACTGAAACTCTCCAAATGTGCTGCGACTTTTTGTTCGATGTGGCCGGTTTTCTCTCAGGTGAGTCCCTAATAGCACCACAACTTTACACGAAAAGTGTCATGATTCATATTGGATCATCGTAAGCAGATTTGATCGTGACTCTCCCACTGCAGACAGATGGACAGAGTTAACAAATGTATCCTTTGATTGATGTGGTCAATGTTATCTGCGGAGAGGATCTCATAGCAGCAACTGGAGTTGCGCTGCCCATTGTGTCCTCTTACCAGCTTGAAGTCTCCATGAATGATCCTCTTGTCACGGAGGTGGCTCAGGCATTTCAGGATTGACTTGGTGTATTTTTTAACCAAGCCAATGTTCAACCTCCAGACTCCCGCCGCTTTGATGACATCGTGGAGACTACACCTGTGAAATAGGTAACGAGATAAAGTCAGTGGTATGCTGTGAAATGCGTCAACTATTTGTTGTTATTCTGCTTGTCCCCCACGAAAACCCTCACCGAGTCTCAAAACTCTTGTTCAAGAGGGTCCTGCTAAATTTGTCGGAGTAGTGGGCGATGTTGCTGTGTGTAATTAAGAGTTATAAATTTGCAGGGAATTTTTCAGCATTGGGATGTTTGGCCATTCACAGTAACATTGTGTGGTTTAGTTTTAGCTGCAGAAAGAAACCTGAGAAGCCAGAGGGAAAACCATGCATAAGCAGAGGAGAACACACAAACTGCACACATAAAGGAACTTGAGTGAGAAAACAATCGCAGCCTTGTTCGTATTGTGGTCACAGGCATGCTCCATGTCTGTACCTTACCCGGAGTATGGCGGTGACCACCTATGAAAACCAGATGAAGGGTGAGCACTAATATTGAGTATTTATTACTGTGAGGCACAAGTGTTAACACTGTGTCACCCTGCCAGTTGAAAGGGTATATTCTTTGGTTCTTTCGGTTAAGTCACGTAGATATAAAAAAAATATGAAAATAAAAAATAACGTGAATAAAAATATCACGACGTTTCGGTCGCAACACAAGTGGTCGTCATCAGCAAAAGGGGTTAGCCTCTCAAGGCAATCTGTTTATAAAGGTTTGGAGATGGGCGTAGCCCAAGTGTATCAGCAGCACGACCAGCATGGGTAGGGCAGCAGTGCCACTGCAGCAACAATCGCAATGCAGCAACAATGGCAATGCAGCAGCAATGCCAATGCAGCAAAGGGCCGCCAAGAAATCACTGCACCCCACTCCACACACCACACTGCTGACGGTGGAGGTTGATTGACAAGAAAACACAAGTCAAGTCAAGATCCAAAGTGGTTGATGACATCTTTCCAATGATTTCTGAATCTATAACCATCTTCTCGGTTGAAATTGTGTCTGTGTCTATATATATATGTGTGATAAAGGTCATTGAAGCGACTTCTGGAATCCGGTCTTTATTCGTCTTTCATTACAACACTCCTTCGCGCTGCTGACAGACAGCATGAGAGGGATATAAAGAGAGAGACGCGCGCAGCCACGTGGCAGCCTGGACCCCCGCTCTCGCGTGGCCTCTTCCCTTCGTTCGTTCCAGTTCTGACCACGTGTTGTTCGTCTCCACCCCTATTTAATACCCGGGTCACGTGGTACCTTTCCACCAATCCTGGTTAGCCTCTATGGAATCTTCCAGACTCCACCGTAGGCTCCCGGGACCACGCCCCTGACTCGTCTCCCCATTGGCTGTGGCTAAAGCCAGCAGAACCAATCATCTACTTACAGCTGTCACCTTTCCATTACGTCAGGGCCACGCCCCTAGGCTTCCCCCCATTGGCTATGGACCAGGACCGGCAGAGCCAATCATCGTGACGAGTTGTGATCCGTCAACGAGCCGGATATATCCTCACATTACATATGGATGGCTTCATGAACGAATCTTTGTTGATAGCCAGTAGGCTTGCAAAGTACAATTGTCTTAGAGAAATCAATTTCGTGTGAGCCAGCTTCATTAAAATAATGATCAGCCACAGCAGAAGTATTAGTCCTACCGTGTGACAAATCTGCCTTATGTTCACGAACACGGTCCGAGACATGTCGCTTAGTTTCCCAAATGTAACTGCTGTCGCAGATACAGCTGAGTTTGTAGACGCCAGGGTATTGCATTTCAGGAATCGTTTCCTTCACAGATGGGATCAGATCACGAATTTTATGTACTGTGTTAAATCAGACCTGGATCTTGTGTTTGTTCATGATTTTGGAAATCTTTTTGGTTACCCCTGCTATGTATGGCATGGTGATGGTGTTGATTGGATCATCAGATGGCTCCTTCCTCACGGTTGGGGTGATGGCTTTGCGGATTGTGGAGTCAGAATAACCATTCGCCTTGAGAGCTTCGTGTATGTGTGTAATGCGGGCGTAAATGGGCGGGTCGGATGTGATGATCCAAGAGGGAGGAGTCAGGGTCACGTGGGGGGAGAAGTTATAGCGGGGAGACAGGAAGAGATCGAGGAGTCGGGGGAGTGGAGAGTGGAGACCACGTTGGGTGGTCGCCGTGCCTCAGCCTGGTGGCTGAGGGGCTCATGACGGCGCCAGCCAGCGGGGTGGAAGAGAGATTTGGGGATGGAGACAGAGAGTGGCGAGATCGCCACAGAGGCCACGCAGGGCTGAGGTTGGAGAGTGGCGAGATCGCCACAGAGGCCACGCAGGGCTGAGGTTGGAGAGTGGCGAGATCGCCACAGAGGCCACGCAGGGCTGAGGTTGGGGAGTGGCGAGATCGCCACACACGGTAAGACTCGGCACCGCCAGCCAGCGGTGACCGAGCACGGAGGAACGGGGAGCAGCGGTGGAGCTGCAGAGAGAGCAGCCGGAGGGCTGCACCAGGGACCTGCAGCGGAGCTGCAGGAGCGCGGAAGGCTACGGGAGCGAAGGCAGCTGTGGAGCTGCCAAGCGGGGAGGCTCTGAGCGAGGGCCGTGTGGGAAAAGTATACGAACCCGAATAAAGGACACGGAGACAGACACAGTGGTCGAGTCCTTTATTACATGTGTTTGAGTTCACTGGTTAGGTGTGCATGGTCAGAGAAACATTGAACTCTATGGTGTAGCGTTTTGATGAGGGAATTCTTCTGGGATGGGTGGTGGTGGGAATCAGATTTTAGGTAGGCGTCAGTATGGGTACTTACCTGGAGACAGAATGGCTCATTGAGCCATCTGGTCTCTTTTTGATTAGGTAGCATGCCATCCTTTCTACCTCCATGGTGAATTTGATGGCTGGGTGTATGGAATTGATGTGGTTGAGGAATTCGTTTAGAGCCGGTCGGCCATGTGGCCAGATAACAAACGTGTCATCCACGTACCTCTTCCACAAGGACGGGCGTAGAGTGGATGCCTAGATGGCGTCAGTCTCGAAATTTTCCATGAAAATATTGGCTACAACAAGAGATAAGGGAGAACCCATAGGGGTGCCTTCAGTTTACTTGGGCCTTTCGGTAAAGTCACGTAGATAGTTTGAAAGAAAATAATAAAAAATAACAAAAAACTACGACGTTTCGATCGCAACACAAGCGGATGTCTTCAGGAAACGGGGGGTTAGCTTCAAAGGCGAACTGTTTATAAGGGTTTGAAATGGGCATAGCCCAAATGTCAGCAGCCAATGATAATGTGAGTGGTGGACAGCCAACCCGACGGTGGTTGATTTTCCACCAATCAAAGGGCTGCCAGGTGAAAATTCCCTCATCAAAAACTCTACACTATAGAGCTCGATGTATTTCCAACCATCATCACCTAGCCAGCGAACTGGAACACGTACGCCAAGCTCTCAAGATGAATGGATATTCAGACTACACAATCGGTAAAGCTATCACCCCAACCGTTGGGAAAGAACCATCTGAGGACCCAATCCAAACCATCACCTAGCCATACATAGCAGGGGTCACTAAAAAGATTTCCAAAATCATGAGCAAACACAAGATCCAGGTTAGATTTAACAAAGTACATGACATTTGTGATCTGATCCCATCTGTGAAGGATGTGATCCCTGACATGCATTATCCCGGGTGTCAATAAACTAAGCTGTGTCTGCGGCAGCCGTTACATTGGGGAAACTAAGCGACATGTCTTGGATCGTGTTCGTGAACACGAAGCACATTTGAAACACGGTAGGACCAATACTTCTGCCGTGGCTGATCACTATTTTAATGCGGTGGGCTCACATGACATTGATTTCTCTAAGACGAAGGTACTTTGCAAGCCCACTGGCTATCCACTAAGATTCGTTCATGAAGCCATCCATATATATAGACAGACATTATTTCAACCGAGACTAAGGTTATAGACTCAGCAATCATTGGAAAGATGTCATCAATCACTTTGGGTCTTGACTTGACTTCTTGTCAATCACCCTCCACCATCAGCAGTGTGGTATGTGGAGCGGGGTGCAGTGAATTTCTTGGTGGCCCTTTGCTGCATTGGCATTGCTGCTGCATTGGCATTGTTGCTGCATTGGCATTGCTGCCCCGCCAATGCTGGTGGTGATGCTGATACACTTGGGCTATGGCCATCTCCAAACCTTCATAAACAATTTGGCCTTTATAGGCTAACCCCTTTTCCTGATGACGACCGGTTGTGTTGCGATGAAACGGCATGATATTTTTATTAACTTTATTTTTTATTATTACAGATAGTCCCCGAGTTACGATGGTCCGACTTACGATATTTAGATCTTACAATGGTGATAGCGATACGACAAAATTGTAAAATATTTTAAATTTCGCGCTTTATCATCGCCATCTTCCTCTTCTGACAATTAAGTTAATGTAGCCATCAACAACCTAACATTATTCAAGTATGCAGACGACGGATAGAATCTTGGCGAGTACAGTACAATATGATACGTGACGATACGTTCAATGCATGTATGATACGTAGCTTTAGCGAATTCATTTTAGGGTTACCACGATACGATACGTTCAATGCATATTAAAAGTTTTTTTTATAGCAGATAGGATTGTTTCCTGAAAAAACTTTCTATTAAATTGCAGTTCCTATAGGTAGGCTAATAATTTACCTTGTTTTTTTACTTTACATTTTACTGTGCAATACAGTATTGTAATTAATAAATACATACAGTATATCGTTTATACAGTACGGTACTGTAAATTTCTCTGTTTTGCTAAATTATCACCATTCTTTAAGACTCCTGGGTAGGCTAGGCCATCTTCGACTTACGATATTTTTGACTTACGATGGGGTCATCGTTACGCATCTCCATCGTAAGTAGAGGACTACCTGTATTATTATTTTTTTTCTATCTATGTGACTTTAGCAAAAGAACCAAAGAATATGAATTCCTGCAGTCACTAAAGTTTTAAGTTAAAATTTGAGGGGGCATGGCAATGTAAAAGTGGGCAGGGCTGATGGAGAAAAGGGAGTTGTGGGG